ATGAAAAGCTACCTGAACAATAAAAAAGCGAGCTATAAATGGAAATCACTCCAATAATCTTGGCGCTTCAAGAACCCACACATAGGGGAAATATAACCAAGCTATATATAAAATTGAGCAGAAACGATCAAATAGTCCTACAAGCAGACAAAGAAGGTGCCACGGTGGTGAGATTGTGTCGTTGTTCTCTTATTTTAGTGGCATAAAGAAAAATGTTTACGCAGTTAGTCGGCAACAAGATGCCCTCACGACAGTGACCTTCTGAAGAATATGTTCTGCTTAAACTTTAGGCGCTGCAATTTTTGTCGAGAACCCAAGGATTCTTTGACTGTTCGTGCTGGAATGTTGCTAGCTTGAGGATGAATACTTCCTCGTTGTCCTGCTAAGAATGAGGGGAGATAATTAAGTCTGGTGCAGATCCGCCGGTATCGAAAGACCCGTCAAAGTTAATACATCAGAAATGCCAGTGCAAACGGATCGAGTAGGCAGAAGCCTGCATGAAATCCCAGGACCGGATCAACAATCTTGTTTCCGCCTCGGAAAGGGTGGGAGGTCAGTTCAAGGGATATATTCGCTCTAAGGTCGGAAATTTTAATTGCATAAGAGCTGTATTATGCCTACGTTGCACAAGGTGATGAAGAACTGAAAGTTGGATTTTCTCACATTTATATGATTAGGTCCCACCCTATGCGACAGGGTGAATTCATCTCTTATTTAGGGTCCTTTTGATGAGCTGTAGCTTGGTGCTGTGAATTGCAAGACTCTCTGACGATGTCGACTACGGTGACGGCGAAACGTCTGATAATGTACCAAGTCAACGGTCCGACGCTCGGAATTATGATAACTACTATAGCAAAGGACTTCGGACAAGGTGCCTCCAATTAAGTAGCCCTGACAACACGAACAAGTCTCACAATAGAATGGGTGTATTTCATGATGCCGGTAAAGTCCCCTTAAGCATCACTCTCCATCTCGCCTGTGTCCACGAGCCTCGAAACCGCGTCGTAACGGTTAAGTGTAGACAGACTACCATTCTCGGGTGAGTACTGGGCAGGTAAGGCCTCTCCAAAGTCACTGTTTGCATAATAAGATTGCCGATGAGGCAAACTCGTATCCGGATTTAGAGGAGTCTTTAATCTGTATATACCTATTTGGATCATTCGATGCATATATATGTATATATATATATATCGGGTTCCCGTGAGACCATTTCATGAATTACTTCCAAACAAATTTTCCTTCAAAGTGGACAGTCATGCGACAAAAAATGGCTCTGAAGTTGTTTGTAACATGAAGGATTCGTCAGCAAAGCTTCATTCGAGTTGCAGTCTTCACTCCGAGGAAGTGGAATGGCTTTGATTTTCTATACTCCTCTTCGGCCAACTTCGTTGTCGAAGTATCAAGTTGAGCCCCACCAGAAGACTCGATATGAGTTGTGATGGGCATATGCCAAATCGGTCAGCCCGGCGCCAACCTCGAGGATTCTTGCGGAGCCGGTCGGAGAGCAGTAACGAAACTACGCCCAAAAGCAGAATCTTCGGCACCCACAAGTGTAGTTGACAGAGTTGGCGGTCCGTGTTTGGGCATTGCTTTGGTGAAACATTTCCGTCACCAACAGCATCCGATGCTGTAGGCAATTCTCAACATCAACCTGATGTTGATTCCCCTTGTCTCATAGTCAACAATCCGCCGAGGATTTTGGTCTCATACAAGCCGACTCGTGATCCATTTAACCCTAAAATTTGTCTGCGGGCAGCCGGGCCGTCGGGAAGTCCTTTGGCCCTTCGCTTAAGGCGATCGAGTGTATGGATGGTGGGAATTCTGGCGCATACAATGGCCCTTCTGCACAGCACTGGGCCTGTGGCAATCGGCCGAGCAGTGACTCCGCAGAGATGGTGGGGATAACAGAGGATAGACGACAATACAGACTCGGGTGTATGTATGTGGGCAGATATGTGCTAGCGGTTGTGTATCTATGTATGTGGGTATGAAAGTATTTGAATATGGGAAAGTATACAATATAGGCAAATAGAACTGCATTGATGTTGGGAAAAACGAAGAATAGAAGACTGATGGGGGGAATGGGGACTGACAAATTACTATAGATGCACAATTCTATGGCTGTTGATACATATGAGTTTGTGCATGTGCATTTCGGCGTTTATGCACGTATCTGTGTGAGTGTGCATAAATGTGTCTAACTATAGGAAAGTGTGTATGTAGGCATGCATCTGTGACAAAATGTGCCTGAGTGTATAGAACTTTGCAGGTGACTATGCTTACAGCTATCTGTATTCGTGCATGCCAGCATGTATCACTAGGTACGAAAGTAAGGATGCATGAATGCGTAGACGTGTGCATTCTTGTAGCAAATTTGGGTTTCGAAGAGTCCTTTAATAAATTGATGTTCGAGTACCTTACATTTCGATTGAAAAGGCGAGTGGAAGGGATTCGTCAGTTGGCCTCATCAGAGGCTGTAGAGTGATAGACTTAGAGTTGCAATTGTAGATTTGTGCGAATAAGATCTCGGCGCCATGTAGCAATAACACCAAGGAATAAGAGTGGAAAGCATCATAAGGAAGCGAAAAGTTGAGGACCAAATGGTGTTGAGGGTAGACAAAAGAGGAGCAGTGGTAAGCATGGGTAAGTTGAGCAATGTAGAAAAAATGTTGCTGGGTTTGGATGACACTACCACATACAGGGCTTCAGTAGGGACTCTACGGAAACCCTTAAGTCTAGACTAAGGGGTTGCCTACAGCATTGCGTAACAAACGGGGAACTGAAGAAGTGGAAGATGAACACGCTTCTTCAACGAGATCCTAAGCCTCCAAATGCAAATGGTCTGCCAAAAATATGTAAAGATGGAGTGCCACTTAAAGTTATTGTGAATAATAAGAGAAGCGTGAAGCTTAAAACAAAAGGATTTATTTGTAACCAGTTAAAGCAAATCTCCGAGAAGTGGAAGGTTTCAGTTAATAATTTTTATGAATTCGTTAACATAGACGACGAGCAGGAGATAGAAAGAGGGAATTTGCTGGTAAGTTTTGATGTTGAGTCTATGCACACTAACATTACTGTAGACGATGCCACACTGG